TCGCCTCATCCCCCTCGTACGTACGTGTATACCTATACACGCGCTACGCTTATACACATGGAACGCGTTCGCGTGCATGTATATATACGTGCACACCGAGCGAGACGCAGGTAACACAGAAGGAGAAAGATATATAAGCTACCACGTGTTGAGAATCGTGCCTGCGATCTTTTTTTCCAAGGGATTTAGATGTACTTGTATATTGTGACACGTGATCATCGACATCATCGTTACATCGCGAGGGACGAGGGATTAAAACGCCTTTGGACACATGATTCGGTATATAAACGATATCGTTGGGGTGTGAAAAGAATAGAGAGAGAGAAAGAGACAATTTATTTTATTATACTATATAAGGTGACACGAGTCAAGAGGCGCGAAACGATCGTTAACTTTCGACGTCTCTCTCGAACAACACACACTTCGGTGTACACGACGGGGAAAAAGTGAAAATCGACACATATATCGACGCATAAACTGGGTAAATCGTTTCGCCGCGACGAACCGCCTAACTACTGCTGCATTCGTGTACGCATCGAAATTACAGACCCTAGAACGGAACAACAACAACAACAACAAAAGGAGAAGAGCTTTCGTTTACATCATTTCGCGAGTGAAAGTCGCTCGCTCGCTCGCCTCTTTTTTTTTCGTTTCTCTCTTTTCATTTTCTGAGAGGAGACGCCCTGCGCGTGCTGCACTCGCGGTCTCATATTATATAGTAGTACTGCGGTAGACGCCGCGCCCGTAAATTTATGCGAGGTCGGACGAAAATTTGATTGTTCTGGGCATACAAGAGAGAGAGAGAGAGAGAGAGAAGTTAAAAAACGAGAGGCGCGACTCTGTTTTAAAAAAATAAAATAAACGTCTACTCTAATTGCACGTTTTACACGCGGATTAGCCGCGCTCTTTTTCATTTTTTTTTATAGCTTTTTGCACGAAAAATTATCTCGCTCGGTTCGGATTTTTTTTTACTTTATGCTTTAACAATACGGCCTTACAAATCGTTTTCGTACGTATATATGTACGATATATGTATGAGCGTACCTCGGGCGAGCGCCGCAGCAGAACAGTATAACGAGTGTTTACATACGTACTTGTAAAATCATATATATATGCTGCGGTGTGTACACACATGTACGTACACCTACTTGCGCGTATCGATGAGAAAACGTCGCCTCTCAAGGACTTTCGAAACTTTAAAGTGTCACTACATTTATATATGCGAGCTATATATGCGCGCGAGTCGATAATAATAAAAATTTGTTTTCAAAATACTATATACCTGCCGTGTGTGTTTGCGAATTAGAGGGCCATTATTTTTCGAGAGAGTGACGCGACTCGATTTTTTTTTTCAATAGACGATAATGAATCGTTATGATCGATTTAATAATCTATATAACACAATGATGATTGTGTTTGTCAATGGAATCGATTGTTATACCTACCGAATTAGCTGCAATTAATACACGTTTTATCGATGAATATACACAATCGCATTACACACACACATAACAATACACTGACACACTCGTGCGTAAACCAAAAAAAAAGGTGTTTTTAACCTCGCGACGAGTAGTACACATATATCAACGAAGCGAAAAAGAAAAAACCGGTGTCTCTCCGTGTTATCGGGGAGCCCGACGCGCGACGTATACACAGACTCGCGACGTTGCTATCGGTATAGCATCGATAACTACTGCTACGCTGCGCTTAAAGTCGTCAACGTGGCCCCGCCGCGCGAACACGGCACAGTCCGCAGTGCACGAGTTTCCCGCACGTATATAACACGACGCGCCAAAGCAAGAGAGCGATAAGAGAGACGCCAGTGCGGAGCTCTAACGCCGCCTCTGCTGCTGCTTCTCTGGTTGTATTATACTCTGCCAAAGCGGGGCTAGCTGAAGCTTATATTATTACATGTATGTTATTGCGTATGTATACCGATTTTTTTTCTGCCGCTCAGCCGGAGATAAGGCAGGAAACGTTTCTCTCCCTTTCTTCGCGTCTGTCTTACGATCGCTGAATTATTACGCACGTGTGTACCCTTTGATTCTTTATACAGCAGCAGCAAAATTCATTTGTTCAAACCTACGAGTCGCCTCGCACTCGGCTCGTTCCAGCAGCTTGGAGCTACCTCAATTAGAGGAATCGCGATGCCTGCCTGCCTGCCTGTCTGCCTGGCTGCAACTCGAGCATCGGACTTATTAGACTAATTATCAGTTCATAACGAGCACGAGCAGTGCGCGTCTTCGTATACGCTGCGAGACGCGCTGATTACAGCTTCCTTCATCGTCGTGATTAGGCTCTAACGTATACTATAACTAAATATACTTCAAGAGTAGTTGCAACCTAATCAGCGCACGAGTTGTGTACTCTTTTCAGGCTCCAATTGTGAAATTTAGATTGAATTCGGGCGAGCCCGTCTCTCAAAAATTTCTCGCATTATTATACTACTTCGTTGTGTTGTGTGTGTGTACACGTTTTTGATAAGCGAGCATCGCGCCACTCGAGAATCATAAAGTTACAAGTACTCCAGACCTTTTGTGTTGTACACTCCAAGCGTGGCTGCTTGTAAGGGGGGAACTGGACAGGGTCAGAGATGCCTCTTGTGTGCCGTGTAAAAATAGATTCGAAAGGATTATCAACACCCTTTGTGGCAATTGAAAGTACCAAATTGTTCATTTTCCGCTTCAATTTGTTTATCGTTCAAGTTTGAAGAGAAATCGACTCCACGAAAGCATCGAATGTCCATTAGAATTGATTGAACGATTTTTTACGCGAAAAGGAAATGAAAAAATTTCATTATTTAATCAAACGAAATTGCAGTCGAAAGTCCATTAAGACTAAAGCATAAAATTTAGGTTTATTTATTCATTCGTCCAAACCTTTCTTTTTTTTTTACAACAAAAATTAAAAAGTAACGAATGCAAAAGGGGGTGTACGATGTCGAACGCAGGCCCAAGACTGTATTTATACGTACATAGTCGCGCACACGCTATGCACACATGCGTGCCGCAATCAGGCTTCTCAGCGTCGGCGTCGGCGGGGTCATCGTCATTCTTTCTTTTTTTTTCTCTCTCTGTCTCGCGCACTGTAAAATACAACGAGTCGCAGTTGTTTGCGCTGCGTCGAAAGGTTTCTATCTTTCTGATCGACAAAAGTCGTGCACACACGCGCGCGCGAAATTGTTCATCCGTTCACACACACACACATGATATAATAATACGACATTTCTTTCGCTGGGCCGTAATTGTATTTATTTACTTTTTTTTTCTACGATTTTCAATCGAGAGTGGGAACAATTTTTTTTCGTTCCTATCATTCTCTCGCGCAAATATTATTATATATTTACTCAGCCTTTGGCTTGGTCGTGTGTGTGTACATATGGTAAACGTCCGGCCGCGCGGAAAAAAGCTCGTGGGCGTCTCTCACTTGCTCTCTCTCGCGGGCAATGTATAAATACATTTAAGGTACTCTACTCTACAGTATATATAAAACGTGCGCAAAGATCATCGATCTCAAGTCGACTGCGGTATATATTCCTGCCCGTACATTTATGGGATACAACAACACCAACGGCAACAACGGCCGAGTCAGAGTCTCGTCTCTCGCTCGATGCGCCAAAGCACATTTACGAGCACCGCTGTGCTCTTTTCTCTCTCTCGTCTCGGCTATTTTTGCGGCGCGCGTTTTATTATCCACACCCACTGTATATAAGCAAGTGCATCTATCGATTCTCGCGCGCTCGCGAGGTATATGTATGCGCGAGGCCTTCTCTTTTTACCTCTTTTTCTCGCGGCCTATAGCTATATATGTGTGTGTACGTCTGTGCTCGCGAGCCGGAAATTATCTCGGTAATTGATCGGAATTTGCCCATTGCTATATACAATACATACACACTATGTGGAGCTCTTTCGCTCGCCACGAGAAAAAATTTATTGGCCTTTATTACATTAGCTTTTAAAAGTCAATTAAATTCACTTTTTGCACAAGTTGCGCGCCCGCTGTAAGTCGGTCACGAAAATACGTGTGTTCGCTCCCTTCGTTCGAAAACGTCGACTTCCGATACGTATCGTATGTAATACTCTACACACGATGTTTCAAGCTTATCTGGCAGGCATAAAAGTTACCCACCCCCGCTTGCGTACACGTACGTATAAGGTCTGTGTTTCGTGCAGCCGAGAGATAGACTCGAAATACTCTCTCTCTCTATTTTTTGAATTCCACCTAACCATGCGAGATATCCGCGCACACGCAGGTAAAAATACGCAGAGTAAAATACGACTCATCCTTTGACCTAGGCCCGGATTTTCAAACGAGAAAATTTTCAACTAATCGGAATCTCGTTTTCACTTTTAGCTTATACGTATATATAACTGCTGCTGCTGCTCTCTGCACACAATTCTGGCATTTACGTCAGCGGAGAACGCGGCGCGCGTATAAAAGTTTGCAAACGTTTCGAGCTAGCTAGCTCCGCGGAGTTTTCGAATTAAAAAGCAGTACGTTATATCGTAATGCGAATAACTGCAAATGAAACTTGTAACAACATTGCAAAGTTTGCGAATTTATTGGTTTTTTTTAACGAACGCGTGACAATTACGACGGAATGATAAGGAATAACGAGGCAATTTTTTTTTTATTTTCGTACATGCGAATCCTTTATTACAGCCGAATTCGCTTGTACTTTTATGAATGCAAGCTGAATCACTCGAACCAAAAATATTTACTATTATTTCAATCGCTTATGCTTTAAATGGGTATTCAGAATTCCTCGTATTCTAAAGGCAATTGTAAACAATTCGGCTTTTTTTCGACAAAAACGACGAGAAGGTAATTAATTCACACGCCGATCTTTTCGAGAGATAAGCCTTATCGCACGATAAGATCTGAGACGAATTTTTTTTTTCGATTCAACATCATCAGTTTTCATCAGGCGAGTCGCGAAGCGATCGTTGCAATATATCGCGCACGGTGGTTTACGTATACAGATAGTTGTTGTTTTTTTTTCGTCGTTGCATCTCAAAATGCTCGTCCGTGCGTCGGCGGCGGTGATATTGATTTTTTTCGCCATAGATTTCGCATTGAGTCAGCAGCAAGATGCGCCTCGCGTCTGGACGAAATCGGGAAGAATCAGGGGTCGCTACTTGATCTCTGCCCAGGGAAAGAAGTACGCGGCCTTTGAGGGGATTCCGTACGCCATGCCACCCATCGGCCCGAGAAGATTCGAGGTAGAAAAATATTAAAATTTGCGCATAAGAACATTGTTTAAATTTATTTGAATTACGCAGCCTCCGGTGTCGGTGCAACCATGGGCCAACGAGTTGTCGGCCAATCGCACGCGCGACGTCTGCCTGCAGCATCGACGCGACAAAAACAAGTGGGGCAGCTACCTGCAGGGCTCGGAGGACTGCCTCTATCTGGACGTCTACGTGCCGCCACCGAATAACAATAGCAAGAAAAACGGGTCGATGCCGGTGATCTTTTACATACACGGTGAAGCCTTTCAGTACGGAGCCACCACCCAGATGGGCGCCAAGTATCTGGCCGACTACGGGGTCATCCTCGTCACGATCAAGTATCGTCTGGGCGTTCTCGGCTTCCTCAGCACCGAGGACGACGTCCTGCCCGGCAACATGGGCCTCAAGGATCAGAGCATGGCCCTGCGCTGGGTCTCCGAGAACATCGCCGACTTCGGCGGCGACCCCAAGAAGATCACCCTGGCCGGTCTGAGCGCGGGCGGCGCCAGCGTGCACTATCACTACCTGTCGCCGATGAGTCGAGGACTGTTTCACGCGGGCATGTCCTTCAGCGGCACGGCTTTCGACTGCTGGACGCAGACGGAGAACTCGCGGGAGAAAGCGTTCAGAGTGGCGGATCTGGTCAACTGTCCGAATCACGAGCCGCAAGAGATGATGCGATGCATGAAGTCGCTGAGGGCCGAGTCGCTGGTCGGCGTCGAGCCGAATTTCATGGTACGTTTGGGTGACCGGATCGATTGGTTTTCGTTTCAGAAATGTCATATTTTTTTTTTATTTATTGTAGCCGTGGCAATTGTATCCGTTTACGCCGTTTGGCCCTGTAGCCGAGCGAAACTCCAAGAGGCCGTTCATCGACCGATCGCCCGTAGAAATAATCAACAGTGGCGATGTCCAAGACGTACCTTGGATCACTGGTGTGGTCAGCGAAGAAGGGCTTTATCAAGTTGCCGGTAAGTTTCATAAAAATCTAAAGCTGTTTCAAATTATAACAATCCATTGACTTTCAGAGCTCGTGAATAAACCGGCCGTCTTGAAGGAACTGGACCAGCAGTGGCTGTCGATCGCGCCTCACTTTTTGGACTACTACTTCACGATTCCCAAGCACATGCACTCGGCCGTCGCTCAAGTCGTTCGCGAGAATTACTTCGGCAACAAGACGATAGGAAACGCGACGCTGCCCCAGCTGATTCGAATGTCCGGCGACAGATTCTTCAACGTCGACGCGCAGAGAGCCGCGAAGGCTCAGGCCGCGGCCAACAAGAGTCCCGTCTGGTTCTTCCATTACAGTTACCGTGCCAACACGAGCATGAGCGACCGCACGACCAACAGCACGAAGAACTACGGTAGGGACGAACATTTTTATTCCCTTTTTTTCAAGTTTAAAACAACAATTTCTTTTGATGATTTATCTCAGGAGTGTGTCACGGTGACGATATCTGCATGGTATTGGACAATCCATTCATCGTACCAAAAACTCCATCGGATATTGCCATGAGTAAGGATCTCTTGAAGATGTGGGTTACTGTGGCAAGAACGGGGTTTGTATTTTCATTATCAGCCAATCAAAACACTCTCGAAGGAATTTTGAATTTTATAAAAAATTATCTTCAATGCAGTGCTCCCAATTTCGGACCCAAATGGACCACAGTCAATCCCTTTAAAAATGCCTTCAACTTTTTGGAGATATCAGGACCATCGAAACACAAGATGAAGAGCGATTCAAATTTTGCCCAAGTTCAATTCTGGGACAGAATCGATTTTGACGAAAACAGAGTATATTTTTTTTCTAATTTTCATATCATAAAAAATTTTTCAGGTGAAATTATACGATAAAACTATTTTTCAGGTCATCATTAAACCATACGGGCCAAGAAACGCAGGATCTTCTATATTTTTCACAGGCAATGCAGTGTTGACTCTAGTTTGCTTCCTGGGCATTTATTCATTCAAGTTTATGTGAAGCAAATATTCATTCTGCTCGATTATTATTATATCTCATGGCTACATTAAATAGTTTTAATATTTTTATTTCTAATATATTGATTTGCGTAAACTATTTCATTTAAAATATAAAAATATATAATACACCAGATGGTTTTGTTCCAAGATTCATTTTTTTTAATAAAAAAAAAATACAGTAAACGATCGAAGCAAATTCCTCAAATGTGACATTTGTCACAAATCATTTGGTTAAAAAGTTACCCCCATACGACATACTTATGAAGTACATGAACAAAGAAGAAACTTTGCATGTGATATTTTCCATAGATTATTTTCAGATGTGACCAGACTCAAAAGTCATGTACAGGTACATAATGGTAGTAAACCCTTTGAATATGAGATTTGTCATAAATCATATGGTCGCAAGGATACTCTCATATCTCATAAAAATGCAGTGCATGATAAAGATAAACCCTTTTAAGTGTCAGATATGTCAAAAATCATTTGCATGCTAGGGGTAAAATATACTATTATACTTAGACAAGTATTTATAATTTTGTAAAATATTTTACTTGAATATTCTCCAATTTCATGAAGAACAATGAAATTGTTCAAACTGTTAGTAATTTTGTCGCGTCTTTTCTCAAATATGTGCCCGAGCACGCGTGTTTGCAGTAGCCTTGGCTACGTTGGAGACCAGAGGTGGAGAATGTAAAGAGAGAGAGAGACAGAGAAGGGATTTTGATCATGACGAAGAGTGGCGAATTTAGGAGGGAATCGAGCGCGCAGGGCCTTGCACTGGTAATTAGCCTCTCTCTCACTCTCTCTCTCTCTCTCTCTCTTGGTGGAGAGAGCATGAGGCAATTTGTGGCGTGTATATTAGTGCAAGTGCATGCGTACATACATGCATACGTACGCGTGTATATGTGTATATAAATACGAAAAAAGTCCGATATACATGCGCTCGCGGCTCGCAGGGCTTTTGATGATGATCATCGTGATCGTTTTGCATAGCTCCCATTCATATTTTGATACATAGAATTGCTCGCGCGCGCTCGCGTCAGTCAATTATAAGAAAATTCAACGAAGTAAAAGGACTCTGAAGTTTCACTTTTAGCGTTTAGATTATCTAAAATTCATTCAACTATATAAAAGCATTAGAAATGAAATTTTATAGTCCTCTGACTCGTTTGAATTTTCTTTCTGAAATTTAACTTCTCTTCATTTCAAATGTTTCTGTATCGTCATGAACCTCTGTTTCTCTTGTTCAGCGCAAGCGCATACGAGTGAAAGTCCAGCGAGTTTCGAGTGACGCGCATAGCTCATATAGCTTGGACCTCGTGTTTTTTTACTTTCTTCATAGATCAAAGTGCATGTCTACAGACAGTACAAATTACAACGTCGCAGTGCGAGCACCAAAGTCTCATCTACGATAGCGAGTGATTTTTAAAGAAAAAAAGTATATATACTTTTTAAATAATCAGTGTTTGTGAGTCGTGTGTTGGTGTTCGAAATATATAATGTCTACGTCAAATAGCGAGAGGTCCGAAGGTGGAGTCGAGGCAGTCGACAAACATGTGGAATATCCACAATTAGACAAATTGAAGAGGTTACGTGAAACTTTCAATTGGAAGTTTGAAAATCATCGACACCAATTTCTCCATGAATTTATGTTATTAATAAGAGATTGGAAGGAAAAGCTTCCAAATCTGCACAAAATTTTTACGAAGCAAGAGATGGATTTAATTCTCATGGCGAGTATCAAAAGGTTACCTTTTAATGATGGAATCGTCGAGTTCGTTATGCGTAGCGGCTACAAAGACGAGCCCGACGTGGACCAAGATGGTAAGCCACTGCTGCGTCGTACCACAGCAGTACACAAGATAGCTGAATGGCACCAGCGGGCTCCGAAAATTAAAGTGCTGAAAAACCTTTTCAAAATTTACGACAAATTCCACGTAAATTATACCGACGAGTTGAGCTACACACATTTCCATGTGGCCTGCATAAATGGCCTCGACGACGTCGCGGAGAAATTCCTCGAGCTCGGCCAGGATCCGAATTGCCTCGTACCAGGAACAGGTAATTCGATACTGTACTTTGTTGCAGCAAATTTGAAGTTTGCTACAGAACCAATTGTACAATTGCTGCTGAAATGTGGCGCCGATCCAAGTCAGGCCAACGAGGACGGATCGACTCCTTTGCATGTCATCTGTAAAAATAAGGACTTTTTTACTTATTCCATAATCTCGATGCTGCTTGAGAGCGTCGATGAAGTCCAGCAGAAGGTTCTGATCAACGCCCAAGACAAATGGGGTGACACACCATGGCATTTGGCTCTGAAGTACTGCCATGTCAAGGAAGTCGAACTGCTGCTGAGAAGAGGCGCCGATCCGAGTCAGGCCAACGAGGACGGATCGACTCCTTTGCACGTCATTTGTCGGAATGGCAAGTATAGTTATTACACGATTCGGATGTTCCTTGAAAGCATCGACGAACTCCAGCTGACGGTGCTAATCAATGCCCGGGACAATAAGGGCAACACACCTTTGCACTTGGCTATTTTGTGCGGAAATGCGGAAGTTGTCGAATTGCTTCTGAGACTAGGTGCCGATCCGTGTTTGTCCAATGCAAAAGGACAGACTCCACTGCACATCCTCTGCGAGAAAAACCAGAGAGCGAACTTGTTAAAGCTATTCTTCAAGCTCATCGACGAGATCGAGAAGACGGTGGGGATCAATGCCCAGGACAATGAGGGCAACACACCGTTGCACTTGGCTATTTTGTGCGGAAATGCGGAAGTTGTCGAATCGCTGTTGAGACAAGGCACCGATCCGTTTTTGGCCAATGCGAAAGGACAGACTCCACTGCACATCCTCTGCGAGAAAAACCAGAGAGCGAACTTGTTAAAGCTATTCTTCAAGCTCATCGACGAGATCGAGAAGACAGTGGGGATCAATGCCCAGGACAATGAGGGCAACACACCGTTGCACTTGGCTATTTTGTGCGGAAACGCGCTGATGGTCAAGTCGCTGCTGAGACGAGGCGCCGATCCGTGTTTAGCTAATGCGGAAGGTCTGCCACCTCTGCATCTAATTGCCAGGAGAGACGTCCACGGCGACATGATTAGGATATTTTTAAGTACAAACGAAGAAAGGCAGCAGACGGTGGGGATCGACACTCGAGATGACAATTTGGGCCGAACAGCGCTGGAATGGGCCGTGGCGAGTTGTTTGCCGATGGCCGTCAAGAGTCTCCTGTATTGTGGCGTCGACGTATCCGGCTTCATTTTTCCGACCCCGAGTGACCCTGATGAGTACGGCGACATCAACTCTGGTAGATTACTTGATGATCTGGACAACGATGATTCTGATGACGATAATTTCGATGAAGATGATTTCGATGACTATGATTTCGATAACTTTGCTCTTGACAAGATTTGCTATCTACCTAAACTGGCTGCTGCGACGGGCCTACTGGCCATCGTCGAACTGCTCGAGGCAAGAGGCTACATAATGAACCGAGACGACGCCCTGAAGCTCATGGGATATTTCGACAAGTACGGATTGTACGAAAGTACGGATTTTTCGACGAGTCAGGATGTCGATGATTTGGTCGATTCAGTATTCGAAGAGATGGCGAAAAATCCCACGTATATGGACGACTACAAGTTCGCAAGCTCGTACAAATTGCCTGAGCTTCCCCAAGAGTCTAGGGAGGCTTGTTCTTCGCGCCTGTGCGAGAAAGTATTGACGAAATTTTTCCGCGATTGGGCCCTGGATCCATTTCTGCAATTGATACATTACCGACTGCCTATCGAGTGCTGTGGAATGATCATGGAGGAGCTAAAGAACAAGGATTTGTTTAACATTTGTCTGGCGGCTCCGGCTCGAAGCTCGTGACAATAATCATGCTTGCAATCATTTTTTCTATGTACGATGTTGCTTTATCAAATAAATGAATTTAAAAAAAAATGAGGTTCAATTTTTCCATTGATAATCACAAGATCATAATTTTCTTCTCATCGACTCTTCTATCTAGCTATATCATCTCATCAATGATGAATTTTGAAAAAAAAATTTTAATACTGCGAGCACCTGCAGAATCCTTTAGTTTTGATTAAGGTGATGCCTTGGCCACAATTTTTACCTACCGAGCACAGAAAATGTATATTTTCGTAACTTTCTTTCCAGGCCGATTTTCGAAAAACGGCTCTGTGGAGCCCTCCGTATTGTTGCTGTGAACAACTGCGACAAATTTCAGCCAATTTCATCGGATAGTTTTCCCGGAAAACAGGATCAAAATTTTTTATCCTACAAACAGTAATCAAAAATTTCGAATGAACAGATTTTCAACTTGAATCATTCAATTGTTTACTTCAAACAATTAAATTGTTAATAACTTTTTAGCTTCTGATAGTGTACTCAGATGAAACGATGTGCTTTAATAAATTACTCACGATGTACGCGAGTCTCATCAAACGCGCTACTGAACGTTTGAAATATTCCAATCTGAGAAAATCTTCGATACCTATTAAATGTTATTCGATAATTATAATAATCGAAGCCAAATTATCATTTAAATTATTGACATCACAAAGCAGCTGCTGTTCGTAATGTTTTTTTAAAGGTAAATAATGCCGATTGCGGACAATCTCGCTATCACTCGTTTTATCAAGCGTTCACAATCGCAACGAGATAATTCTCACGTTTGAGGTGGTCAGTTCGCGAACGAACGACACCGGTGCGCGATCTATCCGTACTATTCGGAAGAATTGCGCAATGATCGTCCTTTGGTTCCTCGTGCTTCTATCGTTGTGTACGTCGATCGCGTGCGAAGATGATCCTTGCGTCGTTCGAACGAGCTTCGGTAGGATAAAAGGATCGTACAAAGAGTCGTACGAGGGCAAAAAATACCTGGCCTTCGAGGGCGTACCTTACGCGTTGCCTCCGGTTGGACACAGACGTTTTCGAGTAACTATATTTTTATTTTTCATCACCAAAAAAATGTTTATATCGCTACCTGGTGGTTAATGTCTCGAAATGTAGCCTCCCGAGCCAGTTTCGAGATGGGAAGGTACTCTGACGGCGACCAAGATCGCCAACGCCTGCATCCAATTGCAGCACAACGACAAGTATCCCGATTACGAAGTCGTGGGCGACGAGGACTGCCTCTACCTTAACATTTACGTTCCTCAGCGAGACACTCGGCAGCAGGAACCGCTGGCGGTTCTGTTCGGCATCCACGGCGGAGCCTATCAGTTCGGCGAGGCGTTCACCGGCGTCCAGTTCCTCATGGACGAGGACGCGATCGTCGTCACGGTGGCCTATCGTCTGGGCTCCTTCGGCTTTCTCAGCACCGAAGACGAGCACGCGCTCGGCAACATGGGCCTCAAGGATCAGAGCACGGCCCTGCGCTGGGTCTCCGAGAACATCGCCGACTTCGGCGGCGACCCCGACAAGATCACGCTGTTCGGCAACAGCGCCGGCTCGGCGAGCGTCCACTATCACTACCTGTCGCCCTGGAGCCGGGGTCTGTTTCAGAACGGCGTCTCGTTCAGCGGCAGCAGCTACGGGCCCGGCAAGCAGACGGAGCACGCGCGCGAGAAGGCCAGGCGGCTGGCTGATCTGCTGGGCTGCCCGAGCGAGGAGCTCGCCGAGATGGTCGAGTGCTTGAGGTATCGGCCGGCTCGATCGATAGCTCAGGCCACCAAACACTTTATGGTAAATTTTTAACTCTTTCGAAGTAGGGATAAAAAATAAAATGAATACAATTTTTTTATCAGCCGTGGATGTACAATCCGTTCACGCCTTTCGGCCCGGTCGTCGAGTATCAAGGAGATCGGCCGTTCGTAAATCGCCCGCCGGTCGAGATCATCGCGGACGGCGATGCGTTCGATGCTCTGTGGATCGCGGGCATAGTCAGCGAGGAGGGCCTCTATCCGGTCGCGGAGTACGTGAACAACGACGCCTATCTCAGGGAGCTCGACGAGAACTGGGAGACGATCGCGCCGCATCTGCTGGACTTCAACTTCACGATTCCGCTGGAGCAGCACGCGGAGGTGGCGCGTAAAATCAGGCGGCACTACTTCGGCGACAGACCGATCGATCGCCGCAGCGTGGACCGATTGATCAAGCTGGTGGGCGATCGACTGTACGTCGTGGACATCGAGAAGGCGGCCAGGGATCAGGCGCAGAAGAACAGGAGCCCGGTGCTGGTCTACTACTATTCTTACCGAGCTCTGACGAGCCAGAGCGATTATTACTCGCACTCGATGAAGGACTACGGTAAAGACGCACGAGGCGTTGCGTCGTTTTTCAAAGACATCAATTTCCTTTATGATTCGCAGGTGTTTCTCACGGGGACGACATAAGCATGATAATCGACAGAGACAACATTTATCCTCCTTTGAATAGCAGGGATCGTTTGATGCAGAAAAAATTGATACGTTTTCTCGTCTCCGTCGCGAAAAAAGGGTGCGTATGGTTTACTTTACTTTTTCATTACTTGTGACAGCGAAAAAATGGCACCCATATCGACGCTTTTTTCACAGCTTTCCCGACATGGGTATCGACTTCGATTGGCAGCCGGTTAATCCTAAACGCGCCGAGTTGGATTACTTGCACATCAGGTCTCCGTGCAACATTAAAATGGAGAGCAATGACAATTTGGCGGAAAAAAATTTTTGGTCGAGCATTCGTTTTAACGAAAACATATTGCCCTGAAAGGCTCCGCCTGGATTTCGGTATTGGTGAATTCGATTGTAGCTGATGAGCGCGCAGCAGTTGTACTGTAAAAGCCACCTCTCGAATAAAACTTCGGTCATATTTATGTACAAGCTGTCATACAATAGAATAAATAAAATAATGAATGAATGATAATCATTTTCATCAAATATATTCTATCATTGAATAATTTTATTCGTCGTGGCTCGATATGGTAGAGAAAAAAATTTGTATGCTGTAGTCGTGGTACGAATAAAATTTTGGTTTTGCGACTTTTTTACCGGAGCCTGTAATGGAAGAGTGACTTACTTTTTTTCAAGATTTTCAATAAAATACAATTGTCATGTGTTTGAGTGATTCAATAGAGCTCGAGTGTCGCAATTTTTTCATATGTTGCAGGATATGAAAAAGTACAAATCTGAGTACTTAAAATGTGCTTAGACTTGATTAAATAAGTATTGAATCATCGGGTGATAATAAAGAGTTTTTTTACGTATAATTTATATTTAAATATTGCATGTGGGTTATACTTCTTCCAGGGGCCTATGAGATCAAACTAAACCTACCTGGCGTGTTTCCTAGGAGCACAAAGTACACTCAGTAAGTTTGGGTAAAATCCATGACTTGGAGCAAAAGTGGTCTCCTTGAAAGTAAATTTAAAAACTAACAAAAAAGACACGCACGCATATTATTGATATGATTGATTATTGAAAACTATAGCTCTCTAAGATTAAGATTCGTGAGAATGGATTACAACAAATAGTTGACAACGATGATGCAAAAACGAAAAACACAAATTTACACTATTTATCGCATAACAATAGCACATGCTTGCTATGTATAATCACTTACAAGGAGAGTCTTTCATCGTTCGGCTTTATTATTATGTACAAGAGGACCCCCAAACAAGTTTGTTAAGGATCTGTGACCCGAAGAAAGGCTATCCTTGTTAGTATCGGGTGATTTTTCAGATCCATGCATCTTGGGCATCTTGTTAATCAATTTTTCGCTTTATCGCTTCGACGAGTTTACCGATGCCATCGAAAACCGCCGAACGAGGATCCGTCCTGATAGTAAAACCGGGCGTGCTGTAAACGGTTGCCAGCTTGTCCTTCCAGATCTCAGAGGTCGGCACTTCCATGTGCTCCGCGTGCCATGCACGTGCGAGGTCGATCGCTTTTTGCGGGAGATCGTGGCTCCAGTCCTCGTCTGTATTAGCTGTACAGTTAATTTTTGTAATTTTTAAAACATAATTTCCAAGTCAACGTGTGAAATTTTTTATAAATAAAATATAAAAACGTTCGGATAAAGATTCGAATATGCTAACCTGGCCGTCTCATGGTGATTTGTACTCCTGGTATCACCTTAGCTACCAGAAGACCAGCGTAAGATATGGTGCCGATCGGTTTTTTGTTACTGTGGAAATCTTGGATTGCAGATCGAACATACGGATCTACATGGCCTGCGTCGCCTCGAACGAGAAAATCGCTTCTGTACATAGAATAAGGAAAAATTATAAAAAAGAAAAGAAAAAGAGAAATTAGAAAAATTTAGAATTAATCTATGGAAAATAAAATTACAGAACGAAGCCGACCCCGGCGCCACCGGGAATAACGAGTGCATCGTACTGCCTGAAATCCTTCAGATTATGGAACTCCTTTACACTGTGGCCGAGGACAAGACGGGCGGACTCGACATGGGCTCTGCGTGCTTGGAGTTCATGGCTCTTGAAACTATTGGCATCGAAATCCCATTCTCTCCTTATCAATTGAGACGGCGCGAAGACGGCTGCATACAATCCGTAACGATGCAGATTCACGATCAGGGATTCGGTTTCGAGTGTGGAGCTACCTTTGGTGTCGCCGCAGCCGCAGAGTATCTGGAAGCACGACCATAAGAATCGAGATATGAACGGAGCGGTACATGTCTCCGTATACCCGATCCTCTTCGCAACGGACATGATTAAATAACTTTTCTTTGCTTTAATTATTTATGAACGTTACCACAAGTACGCTCGGTGGTTCGTGAGGCCGTTTCCCCAAGAATCGCCTGACATCGCGTTCTATTTCCGAATCTTCCCGAAAGGGTATATCTTGGCAGGCCGCACTCGTGTGAAGCAATAGGTTAGACGCTGGCGCTGTTGCGTTTCTTGTGGCGGCCAATTTAGATACGTTGGCCGACAGGCGTCGTAGGGATTCAAAACGAGACCACATTTTTTCGCAGCAGTGAAAAAAAATGTTTCACTTCAAAATCGCGCGGAGCAAATGAAAAATTGTTTAGAATTTGAAAACTCTTGGATGATGCGATAACGTGTCTTGAGTTTTTGTGTTGGCGGCGCCATCAATAACTTGAATTCGCCTACCACCCGAGCGAACGGACGTTCGACTTTTATTCGTGCTATCCAAGCCCGAGATAATAATTTGGTTTCGCTCAGCCAGTGGTGTAGATTGGATCTTTCATTTTGAATTGTTGAAGGCGCTTTCATTACTCTCGAAGAAATGTAAAGAACATTTCTTGGTTAGAATTAAATTGTTCAATAACTTCCGCTTCAGTAAATGGCTTTGAAGTTTTCCACGCGAAGAAAATTATTGATGTTGATGTTACTGATTGTTGTTGACTGGTTTTATTTGGCTTTTTCTTAGGGACACATTGACAATATTTTATGAGAATACGGCTTTTAAGAAAAAAGATCGTTTGATTATTTTTCTTTATCTTCGAAATATTGCATGCGACAAAGAAGCAGAAATGGGAGTTTTCCAATCAAAAAAAGCATCCCAAGGCACGTGCATTGAGATGAAGAAAGTTCATCGACCTTGAAATTACACGATTAAAACGTTTTACCTTCGGCGAAATCTTAATACCGAAACAAGCATGCCCAGAGAGTGATAATGTGCTGCAAAAAACTGCGAAGTTCATCATTTGCATCGGCAACAAGTGGCACAATCGTCATTAAATTTTTTCATCCACATTTACGAAGTATACCGCCAATGGAAAGTCCACTTTGTGTATCGACACAATCCTTAATCATTCTAAGACGAGCATAAATGGATTCTTTTTCCGAGTGGAATCAGCAAGTTAGGATATTGATATTCAAAAGCGTCTTGAAAAAAAATACATATTGAATGGTCATGTTTTATTATAAAATTAACATAACACCATCAGGTAGAAAAATGTACCAGATTAATGAAATTCAATCAGAACAAAGTGCACAAGCTTTGAGTATTTTTTCCATTTCCTCGTCGTGAAATTTTCTTCAATTTAAAAACAAGCGAAAAAATCTCGATCGATAAAATTAATGTGGATCGATCATAAAAAATCATACATTTTCTATGTCGATGGCGATGCGAAATTACAAGAAAAAGTGACTTTTTATTCAATCGCACAACAACAGTACAGACTAAATACATAATATTATTAAATGTTGAGTCAATTACAATCAGAATTATTATCTATCTCCCAACGTTCAATGTCGTCCTTCATTGCGTCGACGAGTTTACCGACGCCAAGATAAATGTCGTAGTAATGATGACTGTCGCAGGCCAAGTGGCCGGGTGTGCTGTAAATGTTGTATGTCTCGCAGTGTACTACATCTTGAACGCCCCCCGCCTGCAGGTTCGCGCCAATCTCCGTCATATTTTTCACCCACTCGTCCTCTAGAAAGTTGCTTACTGTCTCCTCTACAAGCTCGCATTAATATTTACAAATTTTTCATTAATTATGTGGGTGCTTTATAATGTTTTATGATTGGTTTCTTCTTACCTGTTTTTCCAATGGTGATTTTCACTCCGCTCAGAACCCTGGCAGTCCCATAACCACCGTTGGATATCGTGCCGATCGGTCTTTCTTTCTTTCCATTTGCAAAGCTGTAAAGGACCGGCCACATGTTTTTAAGAAATAGCCAATTCGTGGTACCGTCACCACCGGGAATGAAGAGTCCACCATAAAAACGATTACACTTGTAATCTATGAGATACTCCGTATCATGGATGATTGTTCCCTCCATAACACGCCTGGCATCGTCACGAGCAATGCGTAATGCTTCCGGTTCCTCAAAATCATGAGGATGTCTGATGTGTCCATCCCCGAGCGAGTGATTCATAGCCCAATCTATCTTATAAGTCCCCGCGTAGTAATCCGCTTTAATGTTGCGTCGATCCAGATGTATGGCCAGGGATACGGCTTCCACTGGTAAGGTGCCGTCCCAGTGCCCGCAGCCGGCCAACAACTGTAGGGCATGATGACAAAAGCGACAGATCAATCGATTATGCACACACATCCATGTCGACGGAGTTTTGACACTTCTTCGTTCTGCGTATGCTACCCCGAACACGCGTTTCTATCAATTCGAGCTTTGTAACGCGACTGTCGAGAGGTTATACAGACGCACCACCGATGCGATTTCCACATTTCGGAGTCAGTCGGAATAATCGTTTAAAAATCGCTTCTGTCATGGTCAAATGATTTTTTTTTTTTTTTTAAATATTTATAAACGTTACCACAGCCACAGATGGCCTCTCGTCGATTTTGAGTGAGTCGGTCCTTTTTATTAAGTTTGAAAGTTCTGAATCTGCTTTTTTTTCTGTTACTTTTCCTGTTTCGTCCGGTTTTTTTGGTGTACCTCTGCAGGCCGTACTCGTGTGCAGCAGTAGGTTAAATGCTGGTGGTATTGATCTTCTTGTTGCGGCCAATTTACATACGTTGGCTGCCTGGAATCGTAGAGACGAAAAACGGCACAACATTTTTCCGTGGTCGTAAAAAACGAGGGGCGTGAATACACGAGTCAACTTCAGAAATTGTTTAGAATTTGAAAAGTCGCGCATGACGCGTTAACACGACTTGTGCGTGTGTTCACGTGTGCATGTGTATGAGTGTAGACTGCGACTGATGCGTCGGAGGCCGATGCGTACGCGCAAACGTATATACGGTAAAAATGTCCGTAAGACAGATCTATTAACATTTTTCTCTCAAGCCAACTTCAGGTGTGTCATAATTCACAAATGTGAGGCAATGTACTGCTGAAGCAGGTGGAACGCTTTAGGCCCTAACGAAAATCGCTTCTTATAGAAAAATTAATAAACTTTTATAAACTTTTATAAACTTTTATTAACTTTTATTAATTCATATAATTATTCAGATTTAAGACTCTAATAAAAGTTTATAGACGTTTATAAAATTTTATAAAAGTTAATAACATTTCAAAGTTTTTTTTTTTCATTTTCCAGTTACAATGATATCAACTTCATAGTTCATAGGAAGTTGTTCATAAAAATTTTTTCATGCTTACAAACGATAATAAACGATAATACACGTTTACAGATCTCTCTATTTAGCAATTACAAATTTTGAAAAAAATATAGAATGAACTTTTGAAACAGACATTGTATGATTTCATTTTTATATTCGCTAACTACATAGAATTTTCAACAAATGTCTATATGTGCCATGCGTGCATGTGTGTGTGTGTGTGGCATTAAATTTGTTGGTACGGAACCATAATAACTTTCAAACGGAGAAAAATATCGAGCTGAAGATATGTGTGTCCAAAAAAACCGTCAAACAATTATTTAAGAATTCATTAATTAAAAAAAAATTTTAAAGAATAAGACTTAAATAAAAGTTAATAACATTTTATAGCAAAAGATCATTTCCGTTAGAGGGCAATGTGTTAAACATGAAATCTGCTAGAGGGCAGATGAAACGGGAGCTGTTTTCTGGGATTTGGTATACTAATATGAAAGATTCTCACTGACCGAATAATATATTACTGCCCTAGACCGTAAAAAACATAAAAGTCCCAGAGTACGTTTAATTAGGCTTGTATACTATTTTTATTAGACCGGTAGTTATTTCCCAAGTTATTCCGATCTTCGCTAAGGTGTAAAAACTGAGAAAAATATGTATATGAGTCCAGAATATTGTAGTTAACACATGCCGCAACTCGAAAAACCGGAATCGATTTTCAAAAAAGTTCTCCAAAAAATCTGAAATCATTTTCTTTGAGTCCTTTGATTTTTGTCGAGTGAAGACGTTTTTTTCTTAACATTTTTCTGTTTAAATGCTTCTATCTCGGTATAAAAAATCGCAAAGTTTAAAAACGTGTTTTTTTTTCTTGAATTTCATTAAAAAACTACTAATTAAAGAAGTGACTTTGTGTATAAGCGACTCTAAATTTACTTACATTCTAGACAGAAATCGAATTTTCTCATTATGCTTTTCAAAAATACTAATATGGCTTTGAAAACTTAAAATTAAATTCAAAAATTTGAAGTACTTTTGTATTAAATTCTACATCGTCAAGAGCCGATAAGGTAGCTCACGCACTATTCTATCCAGCGATCTGTAGTCGAGCGCCCCCGCGTCTTCGGTGCGGACATTTTTTTAACTTGGAATTCGTCGTATCTTATGTTCTGCTAGCCGCTGGTGCCTGCCTCAGATAATCGACCGAGTCGCACGTGTTTTTCATTTCGAGTACTGCGTACTCGCCGATAAATAATTGTTATTACTACTTGACACAGTTTATTCATTGAGGTATGTTACAAATCATAAATTATCTAATAATAATTAATGAACAAATTATCAAAGGTTTATGTTCAATTCTATACTTAAAACCATAAATATACAAAAATGTAAGGGTTATGTTTGGCATGTGCATTTGAATTAGTTTTGTTCCAACTTATTTGATATTTCTTGTAAACAACATGAATAATTTTATGAAACTCGAGTGTACTTAAAATATTTTTTTTTATAGAAATGGCAAAGTCACTGAGAAGCAAATGGCGCAGAAAGTGCAGAGCAGTCAAAAGAATACGTTATGGAGAAAAAGAACTTGCCAGGCTGAAGCAAACCTTAGGCATTGACGACAATGCTGCAGCTAACAAAGACATTGATATGTCAGAAATTCAAGAAATTGCTACAGGTATGTAGTACTTGTTATTAGAATAACCAAGTTGATAAATACTTTGAAAATAAGCTTAGATTAAAATATTTTGAAAAGTCGAGTTGAATACTCTGCTTTACAATTTTTTTTATCATTTACTTGAAGTCTACTATATTCATTAAATTAAATTGACCATAAATCTGGGAAATTTAATCAACTTATATTTTAAAATTAAATTAATATCACATGAAAGTGTTTAAAATTTGATTTTCTAAAGAAAAATATACTCAGATGTTCTTCTATATCAATTAAGTTAAACTGATCATGAGTGTATGTTATTAGACTTGATCAACTTTTATTATAAAATTAAATTAAATTCACATTGAAGTATTTAAAATTTGATTTTCAAACGAATAAATATATATATTTCTGTTTATTTCATTTACTATATCTTCAATTCAATTTTCAGTCACAAACGCTGAAGCAATCAAAGAAAGTATCATAAAGAAAGAAGAAGCTGAAAAAGAAGCTGAAAAAGAAGGAGATGATGAAGTTGAACCCATGGATGATGGAACTGTACAAGCTCCCGCTAAGAAGTTCAGTAAAAAATCCTTGAAAAATGAGCATGGAAATTATCCAATTTGGATGAACCCCAGACATATCGCAAAACACAAGAAAGGTCGTGCCAAGAACAAAAAAGCGATCTCAAAGAAAGACAAGAGATTGACACGAAAAGATAAAAAAAAACTAAAGAATAAGAATAAATCTAAAAAAGAAGAATAATTATACTTTTATAATTGTTGACAAGAGTTAGGTTATTTTTATAAAAATAGGAAGTTCATTTTCTATAAGATCTTTTTTTATTATTATTAAATATCAAACTATAATGTTAAGTTTACTTAGAAAAAGTATTTAAATGTTCCATTTGTAAAAAAAATACAATTTAAATTGTACTTTGATATTTTAGCGATTAGCAGTAACAATAGTATTCATTATTGAATACATATTTGCTTACATCGCTATCTTGCTTGCTTAATAAAAATGTACACTTTTTATCAAAATATTGTTTTAAATGCTACTTATTACAAAATTTTATACGAAATTGAAAAATTTCATGCAGACGAATGAAAGTTTTTCATTTTCTGAAATACATGTTTGATCTACACCGTAGCCTCAAGATATTCTCCAAATCAACGACTTTGTTGCTCAGATGTTGAATCTTTCTGGACTCGTACTCGTATAACTTGACCTTATTTCTAAGCTCGTAAATTTCTTGCTGCATCAAGTGCTGAGAAAACAAAAAGATATCATGGTGAGAAATTAGCATCGATGCGCATAATACCAATGATTGAATTACCATGTCTTGAACACTTCTTCGAATCTCATCGATGCTGTTTATCGCAGCAGCGATTTTTGTGACAATCTCTCCGGCCTCTGCATCTCTCTTTTTACTCTTTGCCAATACCTGGAATTATCCATTAATCAGAATCATTGCTTATTAAAAATTTAGAGTAAACTTTACCCAAAAAATCAAAAGCATACGTACCTTTTCCATCTTCTCTAGCCTCCTCAGAAGCGCCTCGTAACTTCCTTCTTCCTCTGTCTCGTTCACGTCATTTTCCGTATCTGCATAAAATCAAAAGATTAATCTAGCTCAACTTCGATTCCGGCTCGAACTTCTTAGTCCCCAAAAAAAGAAAGAATAAAAAATAAACCAAGATTTATATCCGCGGGACAAGTGTCGACGCGCCAAGTCATCATTCATCGGTGCTCAGAAACTCAGCGCGAGACTTAAAGATAGATACATGCGCGAGCTTTTGACATCTGACTTGGCCTCAAAACTTTCGTCGAGGGGAGATCGTTCGACATCTTTGTGGGTACTTACCGCGCAGCAGTGGCCTCCTCGTTGTGCTGTCTTTGCCGAAGTCGCCGATCAGGTCGCGGGCCTCGAGTGCAACGACGTCGTCGTCTTCCGTGACTGTGAGCCGTGACAAAAAGTGGAAAAAACATTTATATTTACCAGCAAGTTTGAATTGGGCGGTATATTAAAGTAAATAATCATTAACCATTCCTCCTGCAGGACTGTCGATCGGCCTGTAAATTGTAGCCGCTACGACAGTAGCACTCGTACGAGCCGGCCGTGTTGATGCAGATCTGATCGCAGGGCTTCTCGCTCACGCACTCGTCGATATCTGTAAGTATATGTAATACCATAAAAAGTACGTATCACAGCTGCGACAGAGAAATTAAGAATCGATAAGTGAGTTTTGAGCTCGGACGGGATAATTAAAAACGTCGAGTTGAAATCCTAAAAATACCCGATAATATGCCAGGAATTTCATCCTCGCGCGCGCGGAATGGCGAGATTTAATTTTCTTCATAATTGAGCGATAATTCGGTCGCTGTCTCTTTTTGCATCTGCCTCGACGCGGCGCTCCCGTGGTCGATCGTTCATAAGAGCTGAAGCGAGGATGAAAACAAGCCCGGTAGAAATGATGAATATTTTTTGGTCTACGAAAAAGACTCTTGGACACGAAAATTATTTCGACCTTTGCTTTTTAAGATGGTCATTTCGTCCAGATCAAATTCGAGTGAACTACCATCTAAACCCCGCAATTTCGGTAATTGAAATGTAAAACGTAATTAATTCAATTTTACGATTGGGATGAATAATACCGCATTAATAATAAGCCTTGACAATTATGACAATTAATACAATTATCTTCACTTTGCCACTTGCAGATTTACGGGCAAAGGTACTCGCCATCTAACGGTGAAGGCTTATAGCGTTTGAGAGCCAATCTAAATTTTTCGAAACAATTAAATTGTCATTTTCGGGTCATTTAATCTGATAGTAATGGTATCAAAAAAGGGGCATTATTAATGTAAGGCACTTCTACCAGGTTGGAAGGCTAAAATTCAGGGATGTATCTTCTTTTGTTCGACCACCGACGTGACTTGACCCATGTATATTATAACACTGTTGGCTGCGGGATTGTCGATCGATTGATTTTCGCCCGCTCCGTTCAGTATCGATATAGACCATAAAGCAAGTTCCCATTTAATTATGAACTAATGAGATTTACAACAGAGAGAGCTCCCCCAGAGCCGGGCTAAATAGTTTTCGCGTGAGCTTTGGCGATTTTTCGCCTGCCGAGCGTGTGTAATAATTTTGCTCAACCCACACGCCTTTTCTCGAGTAAACCCGCGCGCGCGCGCGTGTACGTACACATTTTAATCCCATTGCTGCTCGGGGTGGCGGGCAAAGAAATCGATCGACGACTTTGGGTTGTATATGCGACGATATTGTATATGAAGTGACGTTGCCGTGTGTGGTTGTGCGTGGAGCTTGCAAATTATACATGGGAAACATCTTGAGCCGCGCTCCGAGTGCTATACAGAAAGGCAAAGCCCAAGCTCACTTTGTCAAGCTTAATAGGAAATTCCCTCACTCTCTTTGACAGTGTATATACTGTTGCTGTAGCTTCACACAGACACACATAACGTTAATGCGATTATACGGGGGTTGGGCTAACTCGAATTGCCTTCGGTGTACATTATACGCCCCCGCGCGCACCAGAGACAGCAGCAGCGCAGGCAGTGACATATTATAATACGATATTACACATGCGCAAGATCTATTTTCTGATTAAATCTTATACTGCGTAAAATGGATATATTATATATTCGGAAGGCGATCGCCTCACCCGTTTGACAGTAGCTGCCGGTGAAGCCCCTGGGACAGGCGCATCTATTGGGCGACGAGCAGACTCCTCCGTTCTGGCAGGCGACGCTGCACAACGCTGCGAGCACACAGAAATTAAATTGGAAATTTTGGAAATCATATTCGTCGAAGTTGTTAGCACTCACGTTTGTTGCAGCCGAAGCTCAGTCGCGTGACCTGAGTCCAACCGGGACAGCAAACGAGTCCGACGGCTTGCTGCTGCTGCTGCTGTTGGTCGCCGAACGAATGCAGCCTGCAAGTATGATATATGGAGTTAACTTTGGTTATAATACACTGTCGTGATTTTGCCTTGTATACCTCGGCTGACGATAATTGAATCCCGACGATGATGCGCTACTGCCGCTCGTTTCGGAGCCGCTCCAGCATACTCGTCTCCTGCGAAACACACAAAACACAAGAAATCGTATTTAATAATAAGTACGAGCCATTGTCGTTTGATGAATTGCATTATAACGATTTTCTATAAATAGGCGAGAATGGCGAAATTGACGTGCCGCTGCCAGAGGAAACGATCCATCACTTTTAATAGAAATGCAATGGCAGCTCTCGAGTGCATTGTATATTATATCACTTTATAATATACATTATATATATTTATCCCGGGAGTGATTTAGAGCTTTTCATTGCGTGCGAAATTCCTTATACATAATAGTGATAATAATAATGTACTATACGATCATAGCTCGGGCTTCGAAATTGATTCTGCGTGTCGGCGATTTCACACACACACACACACAGAGCTGTGTGTTATGTGTACAGTAAAAAAAAAGGATTCCGAGCTTTTCTCCCGAGCCAATATAATGTCAGGAATTATACGAGCGGCAATAAATCGTTATACATCTTCGGGCAGCTCATCGGGGCGATATACTCTCGCTCGGCTATATATCGGCTCTCGCAGCTCGAAGCCGCGATAAGTGAAAATTAAACCCCCAGCTATACACAGCGTAGCAGTAGTAGTAGCAATAAGTACGATACGAGAGGCGTAATTCCTTTAATCGATATATAATACACCCGATGCCGATGCTGCTTTAGCCGCTGCAGGCAGATAGGATATAAAATTATACTCGTTGCAATGCGGTGCGTTTCCGCCGCGCGCTAAAAGTAAAAGATGACGTCCGCGCGCGTAGTGTATATGTAGTGGAAAACGGGAAATACCTTCGAGTGTGTTGCGTGCGTTGCGTTGCGCGCACCACCTTCTATACAGCCAGTCGAGATTTATCATCGTATATGTATACGCGACTGGAGGTTTTTTCGCGCTCGTTCGCTCGCCTGAGGAATATATATATCGGATTTCTCGCCTGCCTGCGTATCACGCGCGCGCGCTAATCGCGTTTTTCTTTCTCCCTTTCGATTCATATGTGGAATATTGAAGAGAGCCTTAAATTGAATGCAGATTTTGTGGAAAAAATTGACATTTGAGTCAGAACAAGGTACTTGGGACATTTTCGAGTTGTTGGCATAAACTGCATCAAAAATGCACGAATGTGCAATCAAATACAATAACTTTCATAATGAAGATCTAAAATTTAATATTGAACTCAAAATTAATTTTGATAGAAATTGCTAAAAATAAATCATATAAATTCAATCATAACTAAAGCCAGCATCCACCACTAGATGGCGAGTACCTGTATAACTGCAAATCTTCAAGTGGAAGATTAAAACTAATTGTATAAGTTAAGGCGGACCGTCAAAATGGGAAATACTATGTGTTTTTAAATTTTCTAGTGGTAATAATTAAAGAAACGTACACATAGGCAACATCTCGCGCCATTGCAAGCCAAATTATATTAAATTGCGAAAGCGCGACAGAGTGTCCAACTCGATCGAGCTCCCATAACTATGCTGTACAGCATACATTTTTTGCGCTTTACATATATTTATTATTATATATACCTTATATACGCGTGAAAGGCTATAGGTCGAAGTCGCGCGGGCACGACACGGAGCGCAGTAGTATAAGCACACAGAGAAATAGTGTATAACCGCCATGCCAAGATTACCCGTGGGAGATTACGCGCTGGGCGGTCTCCGGTGGATATATACATACGATATATAAACGATCTACTCACGACACTGCAGCGAGACGCTTGTTACATTGTCAGCTCTTAACTCGATGTAAATATACGTTATGTGCCTTTTTATCAAGCGTAATAAAGCGTTGCGGGACGATAAGGATCGATCTCGATTGAATGCGTTTTTCGAGTATGTGTCTGTGTAATATACAGCAATATGCCGCCCGGCATATACGAAATATCGCCGTTTACCTCGGTGTAAATAATATAGGCACGACGACGTATATATCTCGGGGCTTTCGCGAGGCAGCTCCTTATTCGCATTGTCGCGCGACGGCCCGTGCCGATATATACAGCGAATGCAGAGAGAAACACGTGCTTCGCGCGACAATGGGAATTCATATCGGAATTTCGAGCGCGTATTACCAATATGTGTGTGTGTGTCAGCCAAGGTGTGGCTCTTTCTCTTTCGCTCGCTAATTTCGCTTGACATGTGCGCACACGTGTGTCGGTGTCGGGTGCAAGGACACTCGAGCTCGGGCGTGGGAATACCAGAAAAATTTATCCTGGAGCCCCAATTTGCATACGTATTCCTGCTACAGTGATAACGTTAGGGTTAATAGCCCAAGAAGGCGATTCGTGAAAAAGCATCTCGAGCAAAGATACGAGTTTAGCTCGATCTTCCAAACAATCTTATTCGTACGCAGATTATGTCATCATGCATAGTCCATTGCTACGCGGCCAAAGTTGAAAAATAACGGGCCAATGTTACTCGACGCAAAGTTTGGAAATTGGAGAATCTGAAAGGACTTTCTACCGACACAAAGATAAGGATCAATTAGTGGAAGGTAAATGAATGTATGGAATGAGTAAAATTAGGTTTCACAGCGACAAGAAAATAAATAAAAACTATAAGATGTGTTATCAAATTTATAAGTTTATCTATGAAGGATGGAGAACATTTTTTCACATTTTAAATGCTTTAAGGTTTTTTCAAAAATTTGCAGAATATTAATGCTAAAAGTTTTCAAACATGCCATCAAAATTGGTAACAATTATGCACTGCATTTACGTGAGTTTTGAGTGTAATTTTTTCCAAATTATACAACACTAATGTGCCTTTTGAGATGACTTTTTCGTCCAAATGTTTTGTGACAAACATAGCACATTTGAAAGGTTTGCTCCGACTGTGCACTGTTTTTGAATGAGTATATTGAGATTACCTTTATATCCAAATGACAAATCTCACATTCCGACTTCCTGGGGCAAAACTTCGCCGAGTCCGAACTTCGACCAAGCGCCCCCCGAGCGAGGAACTTGAGTTGATTTTTCAATGAAAAACATCTTTCATCCATTACTGATTCAAACAAGCGCGGCGCCGAACACTTTATATAACCTATACAACACTGCGCAGTCAGTGTTCACAAAAGTGTCAGAAATGACCGCATGCGACTCAGACTCACACGCCTAAACTCCGGACCGAGCACATGGTGAACCGTAAAGTTCAGTCAACCAATATTTTCTGCTAGTTTTGTGAACTCTGTTGCGCCGTCAACGGGTGTAAATATACTCTCTGTGTGTTTTATGCACACGCGCGAAGAATTTAAGATTCTTCAATTTAATCGTGAAAGAAAAAATAGCAATAATTGTTCATAATGTCTGTCCTAAAACTAAAGCCAGCATTTAAACCAACCTCTAAAAAAATTAGAAGTTCAAAAAACAAGAAAAAAACTTGGATTAAAATAGATACCCAAGAATTTGATAGCCATTTACAAGAAAGTTTGTTACAAGAGAGATTGGGTGGTTCTCTCTCTGATAAAAAGGACTCTGAACTATTTTTTGATGATACAAAACAAGAAAAAATAAGTAAAAAACAGTACAGGGATACTTTAGTTAGCAGTCAACCAAAGTGTTTTAGCATTTTAACAGAGTATTCAGCTGTTCCTGATCCACTTGTTAAGAGAAACAGGGTGAGAACACCTGAAGAGCGACAGAAGACTCTTCAAAAGAGATTGAAAAATAAAGTGACATTGACTCAGAAAATTGCTATGCCCGAAATGGGAGATATTTTTAAAGGAGATCTCTGGGATTCAGAATCTGTTGAAAAAATTCCTCAAAGTGAATGGTTACAAAATATTACTGTAACTCATACGCTAGCAAACACTGGTCATAAACGCAAAAATGTTCCTACTTCTGTGTTAAAGAGGCCCTCAGGATTACCTGCAGTGATTGTATCTCATCCAGGTACATCATACAATCCTGCTTATAAAGATCATCAAGATCTTTTAAAAAAACTTGCAGATGATGAACAAAAATTGATCAAGGAAGAAAAGCACTTGAATCGTGTTACTCGTGCAATCTTCAAAAAGGTAAAAAATATTCAAAAAAATTTCATTCAAAAACAATTATTTTATGTTAAATTTTTCTTTAAATCAATATGATTATTTTATTAAACTATGTTTTACACTTGGTAATCTGGCTGACATATTTTCAATAATGAAAAATGTTGTTATCTAAAATTATCTTTGATGCAATCAAATCTAATGGTTAAATATATTCAGACTAGCATAATATTTTATGCATATTTTTTAGGTTCCAGTAACTGATAAGTTAGAACCTTTTATACTTGATGAAGAGAAGGGAAAAGAAGACGAAGACAAGACAAAAACAGAAAATAATAAACAGATTAAAAAAGTGTCAAAAGAACGAAACAAAAAAACAAATGCTCAACGTAATAGACAGAAGATAGAAAAGGAAATAAGACGCCAAAAATTAATTAAACAATTAGAGAAAAGAAAAGTTGCTGATGTTTATCATTTATCACAAATAACAAAAAAATTGAACAAAACAGAGGAAAAGAATAAAATTCTCAAACAAAAGAGAGAGGAAGCAAAGAAAACAGAAAATCTTACAACAAAGGTCTTGAACAAAAAGAAATTTGAACCATTAGAACAAGAGTTTCAATTGAGCGAAGAACTCGTAGGAAGTTTGAGAAGTATCCAACCAGTGGGCAATATATTGAAAGATCGATTCAAATCTCTGCAACAACGTAATATTGTGGCACCAAGCTCTCTTGTTCTGTAAGTACAAATTTAAAATTTAAAATTAGAACAAAAAAAAAGGTGTTGATATAAAATATTGAAATTTTGTTTGTTACAGGAAAAAAGATAAGGCTAAGATCAAGAAATTTTTAAAAGCAGATCACAAAATTGATCAAAACCTAATCAACCAAGCAATAGGCAAGAAAGTCAAGTAAATTAGTATTGTATAATTTATTGTTATTTTAGTGATTACGAGTACAATATAAGTTTGTATTTTTATTCAAAGTTCATTTTTTGCCATTTTTTTATTAAACCTTATATTTTCAAAATAATCAAATTTTCCACGTTAAACAATTTATTTCTAATAATCAATCAATAATATATTTAGTAAAAAAGGTAAAGAAAAATTTCATGGCTCTGAATTAGTTAAATCAGTATTGTCATATGTTCATGTATGATCTCATGATATATTGAAACCTCACAATTTTCTATTATATTTTATAAAATCCAGTCAAGAAATTTTTGAGAAATTGTAGAAGGTTGTTGTTTATTCTTTTTGATACTGGATTTTTATTTATCTTTGTGTAAAGTAAACCTTTTGAGGATTTTTTTAAAGAAATTAAAAAAAAGTTTCAGCAGTAGATGTAACGTTGAAAATAATTCGATAAAAAATGTATTAAGTAATGAGAAGTCAAGTCCTGACAGGCAAGGCTCGGGCTCGTTTCGCTCGATCCACAGCTTGTATATGCCATATAAGCCTCTTTGTTGCCGCTGTTGTCTGCGATATTTTCTCCTTGCGTGTTTTATTACTCTACTATTTATGAAGATTTATGTAAACGTACTGCATCCAAATTTATTGGGATTTATTCAATTTTTTTAAAGATTTGTTACATTGCACTGCATGTACGTGAGTTTTGAGGGTACTTTTTTCCTAATTATTAAACGCAAATATGCTTTTTGAGATTACCTAAGTATACAAATGATTTGAGACAAATCTCACATTCTAAGGATTTGCTGCGATTATGTACTGCATCGATGTGAACTTTGAGATGAACTTTCTGTCCAAATGACTTGTGACAAACCTCACACTCGAAGGGTTTATTCCGATTATGTATTATATCAATGTGAGTTTTTAGATTATTTTTTCGCCCAAATGATTTATGACAAATTTCACACTCAAACGTTTCGCGATGATCATGTATTTCATTTATGTGTCTCTTGAGACCCTTCTGGTATCCAAATGATTTGTAACAAATCTCACATTCGAAGCGTTTCCTACGATTGTGTACTGTATTTAAGTGTCTTTTGAGGGTACTATTGTATCCAAATGATTTTTGACAAATATCGCATTCGAAGGGTTTGCTCCGATCATGTACTACGATTATGTGCTGTTTTAGATTACCCTGGTGTCTAAATGTCTGGTGACAAAATTCACATTCGAAAAGTTTGCTTCTATCATGCACCACTGTTATGTGAGTTTTGAGGGTACTTTTTTGTCCAAATGATTTGTAGCAAATATCACATTCGAAGGGTTTGATTCGATTGTGTACTGTATTTATGTGTTGATTGAGGTGGCTGTTTTGTCCAAACGATTTATGAGAAATTTCACATTCAAAAGGTCTGTCGTGATAATGTACTATACTCACATGAATTTTGAGTTTGCTTGGGGCTTTGAATAGTTGGTGGCAAATACTACATTCGTATGGTCTAATTTTTTCAAGTATCGTATTTTTATGCTTTTTCAGACTTGTTTTTCCCGTGTCAGTTTCTGGATTCTTTTTTAGCATAAAGGATGAATTTTTTTTAACAATTTTTTCCCAATTTTTCAGTTCCTCATAATTGGCGAATTTCAAACGAGAGCTCACATTTAACTGACAATTATCATCGTAATCGAAGTCTTTTTTTATCAAAGCAATTAGACTTCTTCCATTTGTGTCATTGGATTGTTTTTTGTTTTCAATTTTAACAGATGGCTGAAAATGTTCACATTCAGATTTACAGATGATCGTTGATTGAGCCTTCGGTTCAAGTTTAACATCTTCGCACTCATAATCGATGAATATTTTTGCGTCTAAGTTGTCCTGTAGCGACAAACCCTCGGTCTTGATTTTCATGTCTGCTGCGTTCGTCAAAGTATCGCTCGGCTCTTCCTTCACCCTGAAGAACAATCGACTATTATTAGAGATTTCTCGATTCATGATCATAGAATTACATACACGCGAAAAAGGTATACCTGACTACTTCTCTGTTGGTTTCCATCGTTTACTCGATTAAATATATTCACTGCCAATTTTCACAATACTCAATGAGAAAATATTGGAGGTTATGCGCCTCGAGTATTCAACACCTATATACTTTGATTTTTAAGAAAGGATCTGTACTCTAGTACAGTCGTTAAAATTAGTCGTTACAAGTCGAAACAATTTGTAAACAATTGCTTGTCGAATAAAACCTAGCTTTGCACTAATACGTCAATGACGATTACACAAATACAGCAACGAATTACTTCAAGGATACCCCCTCTAACGTCGATACGAAGATGGTATCGTGAAAAATACATCTATGTTTGAGTGTGCATACTGAATTGTCATTAGCTTGTTCTATATTCTAATTACACCCTTTTTAATCAACTTAAACCCAACCCAATTAAATCAACGTCGCACGCGTGACGCATTAATTTTTCAGCCAGCTAATTGCGGATTACGCGTGGCTTTTCCACGCAAGAATAAATCAAACTCCGCACCCCCTCGAGCTCTACGCGAATCTTTCCGGACCTCCGCAGTCATTAATGACAAAATATATATTCGTGAGCTGTGTATCGATGATGGGCAAGTGTCACGCATCCTAATGTCTCCTAATACACGCACGTATATGACATCACGCTCGACGGAGAGAGCCTCGTGGTCAGAATTTCAGATATATTTCCCTGTTAAACGCACGCACGTGTCCCCGCGCAATACAGGCAGATATCCATGAATTTTGTCTCCGCTCCGCAAAATGCGCGTGAAATTTTAAGTGCGTATATATACAAGTATATAGGAATAAAAGAATACTACGAAGCTGCCGATCGCGCGTGTGTACGGTAAATATTACGAAATTATCCAAGATGCTAATGCACGTACACGTGGAGCGATTCTTTTCTTATTTGTGTATATAAAAAAAATAAAATAGGACGAGAAAAACTTCGAATCACAGGTACGACAGGTTTTACTGCATTTATAAGGGAAATAAAAAAATGATTCGTACTTATAGTCCTTCCATAAACGGAATGCGTTATGCTTTAACCCCTTACACTCATCAGCGAGAAAGAAAAAAGACTCGTTGCTTCTCCAACGTTTTTTTTCCTTTTTTTTCGGCTCCCGCAGGCTAGCACATAATCGTCAACGTGACTTACATACATACATACATAGTACACGCGTGTGCGAGCCGAGCTTTTTTTCATCTTTTTTAACATTATATTGCTACGAAGCTGCAATGAATAAAAACGCATATTCTCACTTTTAATTTCTCTTACGATATTACACTTTATTTGCTCTCTATGGCATCCAATCGTACATGCGTGCTGCATAATAAAAGAGCGTGTGCAGAGACGAGGCAGCTTTTCTCACGTATCCTTTTACAATTTATATATACGATATTCCAGGGAATCTTCCAAAGGGGACACGCGTGAAAAGCTGCCCATTTCCGTAAGTGTCTGTGTGTGTGTAAGCGACAAAAAGGCAATATAATATATAAGGTCGAAGGCAAACGAGCTATATAAACAGGTATATATAGATGTGTGTGTTGCCTCAAAGGATTTTCATGCACATATGCTGAAAGCTGCTACGCATACACACTCACATTCACCCATACGAATCGGAATATGAGTATTGATTCGAACCGAACGCACACACACATAGCGATAGGATAGCTGCGTGCGCTAAATTATTATGCTTTCGTCGGCCGAATGTATTACGATCGGATCGAAGCTGTTCGAACGAATTCACCTACACGACGTAGACGCGAAAATTTAATTACGTTCGAGCGGAGCCGGATTTTTCATCATCTTCTTTTTATTGCGATTCATCTCTCCCGAGCGATTTTTGAGTGCTCGACTCTCCTCGCAGACGCGTGGGTGGGTGTGTTCCGTCGCTGCTCTTATATTGTATCGATTAAGACTTCTCTCGAATCAGTATCACGGCGCGCTTGGCATATATAGCGCAACAATTCGTGGCGGCAGCAGCAGCTCTCGTTGCCATTAGAGAGCTTAATATTATAATATGCGCGAGTGTCGGTGCGGGGCGAGAGAAGCAGCGCTGCGCGCGAGAGGATTTCCGAGGATGTGCTGCACTTTCGCAACGTACTTATATAATGGCACTAGTACAGTATTAGATTGCCCTGTGTATAGCCCCCCCGTGCGCTCACGTGCTCGTGCTGTGCTTCGCAGCTCCACAACTGCAAAATTAGCTCCTATCGTATATAAGTACAGTACAGTACCACTACGTATATATGAATATTATCATCGGCGAATTATGCTAAATACGCGGGGATTTCGAGCTACTTGTTAATATAGGCGTTATTTGCAGCTCGCGAAATTTGCTGCGCGGTTGAGAATTTCCGCCGACGAGCGAGCGCGAACATTAGAGACGTTTATTAATTAAGCCGCGATGCGATGAGGGATGCGGCGCGCTCGTGAGCGTTGTGTGCCCCCGACAACGATGAAACGAGTTGAGCTTTTCATCCTAGCTTGTCTCGGATGAGGAAGTCAATTTTTATCAAACCCACTAGTGATTATTTATTTCAATCTCGGTGTCCTCTTAAAATAGTCAATTAAATTTTCATCATAAAGAGATTAAGATCAATATGTTGAACTTTAAAAATTTTAACTTTTGCTTTTACTTATACGATCATTTTAACTTTATCGCTTGCAGACTTTCAGATTTTCAGGTACTCGCCATCTAGTGGTGGATGTTGCGGCTTTAATTGCGATTTAATTTCTATGATTTTTTTTGAGTGATTTCAATCGAAATATTTGAATTTGAGTGTAGGATTAAATCTTTGCGTTTATTATCGCTTTGAAATTATAAACTGAGCTTTTAGCGCAGTTTATAAAAAAAAAGGATAGTAATAATAATTAAATAATCGCAGTACCAGTACCTTAATTATAAAATTATAAAATTAAGTATCAATCACTTTAATCGTAATATCTAATTTCACATTAAATCTGCATTAAATCTAAATTTTTTTCAACCGTTTTTTTTTTTACCAAATAGCCCATCTATCGATAGCTCCCACGCAGCTGCATTATAATATACCTCGACCCTTCCGTAATTTGTATTTTGCATCTGCACAGACGCAAATTTTTTCAATTCTCGGCGACATCGTTACATATAACGATCGACGCGCGCGCATTATACTACTCGTCGATAACAAGCATTTTTCACGAACCCGTAATACGAGATTTCCACGCGAAGGTATATATACGCGTGTATTCGCGCGTATTTATATACCCACGGCGCTGATGGCGAGTTTTGCATATAAATAATAATAATAACAATAATAATAATATGATGAGGGAGGGAGAAAATTCATTTCCCAGTGGAGGATCGTCGTCTCGTTGAATCGCGCGACGTACAGCCGCCAAAGAGCCTACCTATATACACGTTACCTATCTTTAATCTGTGCTAGAACCGAGAGCTGTATACATACATATTATATATATACGTGCAACACGATTATAACGACAATGAATTGCGTAATAATATGCGCTGTAGCCACGCACTGCAGCTCGTGTATCTACATCAAAATCATTACGAAACTTTCGTACCTTTTGAATTTATAATAATCCATTAACTGCTGAGCACGACGCAAGCTGAACTGCATCTCGCGCTCGTCACGATCGTATCCCAAATAGCAAAGTGACAAATTAACAACCCGTAAAAGGACTCTTGTTCTTTGTGCTACGCTCGAAAGCTCGAATGACTCGCTCGAAAATTTTATTGCTATTATTTATATCGCGCGGCGAATTTTCCGACGCGAACTCGATCTGTGGCGAACGCGTGGGTGGATGCGAGAAAAATCACCACCGGAGATCGAGTCGAATTTTCAATCTAAGCCGCGCATGGCTTTACTCTCCTTTATAACTCTTACTTTCTGCAATAAGAGATTTCGCTCACGTAGAAGAGGATGCTTGCGCGCCGAGCATCAAACACACACAGCAGCGAGGAGAAGAAGACGCGGCAGTAAAGTAGCAGTGACCTCTGAGAAACCGAGAGCGCGCGACGATGCATACAAATGTGGCTATCATCGTTGCGGGGCCAAAAACAACACTACTGCAGCTCGGCGCGGGGGCGTATATATGTTATATACACGAAAATTGTCAAGAGAGAGAGCAGCGCGAATAATGGAATACAAAGACGAGGTAAATTTAGAATTCCCTAGCAATATAGCGGGTCCGGGGCACGATAAAAAAAAAGTTCATAAAATGCAGTACGATTCCGACGAACTTGTGTAAATAGACAAAGAAGGTGAATTATCATATACAGGCGCGTGAGTCACATGGATATGCAAAAAAATGACTCGATCACCGTAGAGCGGCGCGTATTATATTATATACAAGGAAACGATTGTCAATTTAGCATACGTTAACTCCTTTGCTTACATAATATAAAGTTCTGAAAAATCCGCAAAGTGTATATCATTATCCTCTTAGGCGATTATCGTGATAATCTATTTTTTTTTCGTTTTTTTTTATCGTGAATCCTTGTGACGGTAACTCGACGATCTAAAAGAAGAAAAAAAACGTTAAACCTTCGACACGCGGACGTTAGTATACAGAAGAAGCGCGTCCGACCACAATTTCGCTGGAATATGATCGCGTTGCCTCTATGCATCGAAGTTGAAAAAAAAACGACCACGTGTATCAACATTCGTTCTTGCTGGCATATATAACGACCCGCGCGCACGAGGGACAAAACATCGATATATTTTAACTCGATCTTCGCTCGCTCATCAATTTTTATCATCGGGAGACTGAATATGATATACCCTTTGAGCGTCTATGCATGCACTAAAGTCGATTTCCTCAACGCCAAGAGTTTATATCGGATTTTTTCTATCGATAATAGCGTGGGATTATTCAAAAAATGCAAAGTGCTAAATGAGTTTAAGCCCTTATCAGAGACATTCATATTTCCGTATTAAAGCGCTTAGTTACGAAAAAAGAAAATAAAATAAAATTGTCACGCACGTACGAATACAGGTTTGTCGCTTCTTTTCTCTCATTCCTTTTTCTCAATCTCTCTCTCTCTCTCTCTCTCTCTCTCTCTCTCTCTCTCTACTAGCAGCTGTAACTCGATCGCTTTAACTGCGTACCCGTATAGTCTTCATATATAAGCGCATAGCAGTCGAGCATAGACCGAGAGAGAGATTTAATTTTCCCAACCTTATACTTATGGCACTTTGAATAATTATATTTCGAGCTCGCGCGGATTATCTTCTTTTCGAAATTTAGCCATACACACAGCTACTATACGCGGCGCGCGCGCGCGAGCTCGACAATAATTGCGAAGAAGAAGAGGCAGCCTGTTGGAAGAAGCTGTTATTATACTTTTGTACATAAATTGCTACTCTCTATGATAACAGTAAAAACGAGCGTGTCTGTGTATTAATTTTTTTTCCAATTTGACGATCTCGGCGTACTGAACGAGCTTGCAGAGTCGCAAGGATAATCCCCGCAGCGTTACAATACGTGTCCCGTAAAAAAAGTTTACGTTTTCGCGAAACGAGAGAGAGAGATACCGGTTTTCCTTTCGATTCATTCAGTCGTTACCGATCTTCTCGCGCACGCGCGGCAATTCGCGCGACCGAATGAAGTTATTTTTAGCCCATATACACGTGCGCTGGAAAACTGGAATCGAGAATCGAGACTCACCCTGGCTGCGGCACGCCCTGAAATCGTGGGTACAAATCGACTTCTCGTTCGGTCGTCGTCGTCGTGGTCGTCGTTTGAGTGGCAGCTTCGCGATTGTGATTGTGGCGCGTGTGATGAGGATTGTACTGGGCGTTGTGTCTCGGTAGCCAACTCGTTGGGTTCTGCAATGATCGTTATTTTATTATTTTGAAATAAATACGAATCGAAATCAGGATTTTTAAATTAGACTTACTCGGCTGTGATGCTGCTGGGAGGGGGCGCGATGGTGGTGATGATGATTGGTCTGCGCGGGTAGCGGTTCTCCGCGAGCTCCGCTCAGAAGTAAAAATAACAACAAAAACAAACCGGCGGGGACCGAGGCACGATACTCAGGAGCCATTGTTAAATCGATATATATCCTTTTTTTTACGACGTCGCTCGTGTATACATTTGTGCGACAATTGATAGTCGTCGTCGTTATCGTTGGCGCGTGGTAGTCGCTGCTCCGAGATGCTGCTGCTCCATCGTGGGCATATAAAACACAAACGCTATAAGCTGCACATAATACAAAACACACGCGCACACACACATCCACTAAAAGAAACTCTTTTCTCTTTCACTTATGTGCTGGCGTAGTAGTGGCACACCACTCGCTTTCGCATAACCGACTGCGAGAAGCAAAACGTCCCTCGCGTCCGCGAGCTCTCCGCGTCCACCACGTGTTTCTCTCTCTTCTCTCTCTCTCTTGTCTTTCGCCATGCAGCGCGCGCGACTCTCTCGTATAGAAGAAATATCTCTCCCCTCTACCTTTTTATGCACTTGGTGCTCTGTGTGTGAATGCACTACACCATCATCGTCGTCTCAGCACACAAAGTCTCCGTCTTTGTTCGTACATTACTACCATTGCCGCTGCTGCTCGTAACGTGTTTTTCTATTTCTCGCGAGCGCTCACCCTTTGCGATGCTCGTTTTTCTGCCGCTCGGAGAGATATTCTCTCTTCTCTGGTTCTTCTTCGTCTTCTGTGCGCGCAGAAGTCGAGAGCTGCGAAATGATACGCTCGCGCGAAGAAAGAGAAAAATACATATAATGCCTAGCTCGTGATTCCTCGTTTCCGTGAAAACTCGGCAGCGGATACTTATATACCGAGATTCCACGCGCTTTTCCAACTCACGACGCTGCGCGAATTATTCGATTCGTTTTATTTATCGGTCTGTCTGTGTGTGTGTTTACATTTATGTAACGAGCGAGCGAGTGGGAGATAGAAAAAGAATAAGATGCATAAATATAAATGTCCGATAGTAAAATGAGCTGTTATGTGCCTCCATAACGAGCTGCCTTTTGAATAATTACATAATATAATGTTTAACGAGCGAGCGCGAGCTTGGTTTAAAAGGCAGCGCGCGACAGACACACATATATAGAGAGCTTAGCTGTACGAGTGTGCGAGATATATACATACATTTTATGAAAAAGATTATACGTTATATTGCCCCCGCGCCTCGAAACGAGCTCGGCTGCTGCTGCTGCAGCTCGTTATGTGTACACGCGTGCGGTGGCGAGATTAGCGCGTCAGTACGCTACGCGAGGGAATTATAAAGTCGCGAAAAACGAGAGCGCAAATTGTCCGGGCCAAGAGACAGCGTTGAGTGCGGTGCGATTATACTGAGGGGTGATCGGGTCACGCGGATCAAAACGTGAGAATGTGAAATATATATCCGGAAAAAGTCGAAGCTAAGTTGGTAAGCATTTATTTTATTCAATCGTTGTCAACTTTATTATCACCTTGGTTGATGCATTAGAGATAATTTATCCTTTCTTCGCAGAGTGCTAGTTTGAGAAAAGGAGGTTAATTATCGAAAAGTCGGCGGCCGCGTCAAGTCCTCCGAAAGGGAAAGAGATCGATCCGCGTCAAGCTCGGTGACAGGTTCGAGCAGTTAAATTTTCAATGACGAATTTCTAATGGAGAACTCTCATTGTCGGATACAAAAACGATAATCGATAAAGGCTCTGCGGAAGTCAGCGAGGATGTACGGATTGCGTTAATCTTACTTGAACCTAAGTGAATTGATCGTTTTGTCAATTGAAAATGTTATAAAATGTTTTGAGCAATAAAAAAATTCATGAAAGTAAGCAAAATACATACAATTACCGTACACAATGTAACGAATATAACATTTGTTGCTCTCTCTCTTTCTCTCGCCTATTGGGCAGAAGCTCAAACTAATATTAATGTAATATCGTTTATGTCATGATTATATTAAACACGACAATTGTAGCTTACGTGTGGTGAAGAGAGAAGAAGATTATGCTGCGGCATTGCTCGCTGAAGGGCCTTACTCTTGCGCTAGAAGAGATTTTGGCTCCATTATAATGTTGTCAGTGGGGAGATAGGGTCGTACCCAAAGGGCCATAATAAAACAAAATAGACCTTTGATTATAGTTCAGATAATAGGTAAACTTTAAATACTCTTACTCAAGTAAAACTTTTATGGAGAGATTCGGAAATCATAATATTTATGCTTAAAGCCATCTGGCGGTTGGTCTCAGTACTTTTGTATCTATAAAATATAAAATATTGGTCAAGGTGAACTGACTTCTCACAGGGGGACTTCTGTCTAAGTTTCGGTCAAAGTTCGTTCTTTGTACTCGAAAACATTTCTCGTACGTTCAACTAACCAAACAAATGTTTTGATTTACTCGCACTAACCGAGCTCTTTCAAGCTCATTATTAATCGAGTTTATCTAACGAAGTCGACAGTCGAGTACTTTGAACCGAAAATGATTTGCTTGTGAAAAATAGATGTATGGAACTGACCAAACAAGTATAGAATTTTAGGTGACACAAGAAAATTCTTACCTTGTGTTCATCTATTTAATCATCGAAATAGCCCCAGACTGCAAAGCTCGATATCGACCCGAGCTCGCGATCTTGTAAACTGCAATTTTTCATGCGCCAAAACTGCGACAACGTCGACTCGAGCAGCTGACGCCTATATCTTTTTCTCTATCTCGTCGAGGCGAGTGAAATAAACTCACATGTACATGAAATGCATCGCGCGGGAGGATGCGTCGGCGTTTTAGCGATGCGAGGCTCGTCGCTCTCTGCGGGACATCTCGGAGGAGGAACTTTTTTTTTCGTTACACGTGTCCATGGCGGCCTGTGATACGTATCATATCGGTTTGTTTGATGTTCGACCGTATGCCTCGGTGTACTCGTGCATTCGTTGAGTAATGAACCAATAAATACCTGTAAATTCAATATTTCACGTTAAACAGGGCAAAAGATTTTTATCTAACGAGATGAGTCAAACCAATGAATTATTCATGCCTTTATACAGTGTACACTGTACAGTCATCCAAGAGAAGTCATCGCAGAAGTTTTTTTCTTTACCTTTTAATCACTGCAAGTTCGAAGAACAAAATCTTCCCCCCTTACAATGAGTCACCTCGCTCGCGCTATACGAAGATCTAACAATTTTTTTACTTCCTTTTTTACGTCGCAGTAAGTAACGGTATAAAAATGAATATACAGCAGAAATTCTCAAATTGAAATTTTTTTTCTCTCTCCTTTTTTTCCTAGCCGTGACGTCTTTCTACACTTTTTTCGGCAATAATCCCCAGGCGTCGTCTTGCTGCTCTCTCTCTCTCCCACCTCCACCTCCAGCAGCACTCGGAATAGCATTTCATGATATACCCTCTCATCTCGGATAGAGAGAGAGAGAGAGAGAGAGAGTTTCTCTCGCGGCTGCACTTGGCTTTTCGATGAAAATTCTTTAGAAACCGACACGGCGCGCGGCTGAATAACTTATGAAATGGATATATAAGTCGTTGAAGCAGAGGAAGGAGGAGAATCTTCGCTCCTTAAAGACGATTTATTACGATATGTATTACTTCTCGGTCTCTCTTTTAGTGCGGCTGATTAATCGAAACGCGAGCCCGAGAGCTCATTAAAAGGTATTTTTTGCACGCGCCCTTTTGAAAAGCTCGATCTCTTTCAGAAAACTTAGAGACACTCGTGTCTATATACGTGTGTATATGTGCGTGAATGTAAGTCGAGTCGTGTGTGTATGTAACCCGTCGAAATGGCTTCGACTTTATCTCGAGTCTGCGAAACCTACTCATTCAAAGCAGTTCACCTGCTTGTCGACGACGACGATCCACCTCCCACGCGCTCAGAGAGAGATAATCGCGCTCTTAGCCACAGAAATCCTCTTCCACATCTTCTTTTTTTTTTCTTCATTTTATCTCTCTCTTGGCTCTCACTTTGTCTCTCATTATATCCCTGCTCTCTTTTTTCTATATCGCATGTATGTGGGGCTATAAGCCCCTGTGTGTGTGTGCACGAATAAATGCGCGCGCAGCGGAATTTTTAAATCGTATCGCAATTTCGCCAGCGCCAGTATATGAATGTGTACGTCGTATTCGCAATCGAAATTCTAAATTTAGACGCAGACACGGAGTGTATTTACACTCCACGTGTATAATAATAGAGAGTATAAGAGAGAGAACGAAAAAAGGTGGTGCTCACTTGGCGCGCTAAAAGTACACACATAAACGTAATACGTATTCCGCATTATATATACAACCGAGAGTCCTCACTGCAGTTCATCCTACTTGCACCTCGCAATATCTCCGTAAAAACACTCGCTCATTTTCTCTCTCACTCGCGTATATATACATTACTCTTGTTCGTTTTCCTTGCAGTTCTTTTTTGCTCTTTCTGCGTTTTGTTTTCGTACCTGTATACGGTATACACACTGTACATTTTCGCAGCATACATAGTAATACACGAGAAAGCCCAGGGTAATGATCAATACTTAAAGAGGCGCCTCATTATGTTTCGACGGATGATGGAAAATTGCTGCGCGTTTCACCCCCTTTTTTTCTCTCTTTCCTCCTCTTTTTTTTTGTTTGTTACTCTCGCCTTTCTGTACGCGCCAAAGTATGAAAGTTCAGCAAAGGATCTTTATCGGTGAAAAAAAAAATTTTTTTCCACTACTTTTGCGCATGGAGTAGGCCAACCCATCGATCGAACTTCAATCCCAGAGTTTATGAAGAGGAGAGAGAGAGAGAAAGAGAGAAAAAGAGTGCATTGTTCTACGCGCCAAGGAGGGAGGAAAAAAAGAAAAGCAAAAAGTAGGATACTTCTACAGCTTGGTGGTGATTTCACGTTGCAGGAGCTCTGGTAGAAATGCTGGACGTTAATAATGGCCTAATGAGTAAAAATACACATTATAAATACATAAATTAATTCGTTTTTTGCTATTTTTTTCATATAATTTTGTTATAAATATTTAGCAAATTTCAAATGACTTAACAATAACAACTTCACTGTGCCAAAAAATTTAGAACAGTTTTCAACCGTTCCGGATACAAAAATACTTCAAGCATTTACCGCTAGATGGCGCATATCGTAATGCGTAAATCTGCAAGTGGCAAAGTCAAAATAATTGTATATAAGTCCAAGTAAGATTCCGCACTTGCATCAACGTTCGGTCCCAACCCGATGTATTTTCCACTTTCTATCATCGTCGCAATCGCAATCGTCACGTTCGCTCCCAGAATTTCGCGCGCGCCTATTACAAAATGAAACGATTAGCATTGCGGCTCGCGAGCTCCTTACAATATATATACGAGCGACACAAAATGCTGTATATATTTCACAAGCGGCAGTGTCGAGAGACGACGAATGAAAACGAATGTGCTCCATTCGGGGGGCTGCCCATATATCATTGCCACGGCTCAAGAGCACACCACCACCGTATGTATATAGTAATAACGTATAGTTACATGCGACGACGAAGACAACGGCTTTTTTGCCAACAATATTATATCGATCAAACTTCTCTATACAGCTC